TAGCTTTGAATAAATGAGTAGTAGAGTTGAATTAAATTTTGTTAACTTAGATAGTATCTGACCTTATATAGAATTCCAATACTTTTAGCCAATTTAGTAGAAATAAAGTCGATATGATACTTCTATGTAATATTTTCATCAATGTAAAAGCCTTGTGACCGACTCCTTTTTTATTTCAAATTTGTTTATAAAAAGTTTATGTTTAAGTTATTTGGTAAAAAACGCTTTTTTGCAAAAGAGTGGAAAAGAATCCATTTTGTTTTGTTAATGTTTAAAGTTAACTTGTTGCACTTAAACTTAAAGTTAACTTGTTGCACTTAAACTTAAAGTTAACTTGTTGCACTTGTTAGAGATGGGATTGAGCTCTTTATTCATATTTGAAAAAAGAAAACTGTTAAAATGTCACTGTTTGACAGAAAAAAGCTCATAAAATGTCACTGTTTGACAGAAAAAAGCTCATAAAATGTCACTGTTTGACAGAATAAAGCTCATAAAATGTCGCTGTTTGACAGAAAAAAGCTCATAAAATGTCGCTGTTTGACAGAAAAAAGCTCATAAAATGTCACTGTTTGACAGAAATAAATTAGTATCGTTTTAGTATTGATTTTTTTCTGTTTTTGTATATAGGAGTAACTTTAGTTATTATTAATTGGTCGGGAATACACCTTGCTGCATAGATGCCCTGAAGAAATTATAAAGAATACATTTTAAGTTTTCAAAGCAATCTATGACTATGTTGCCATTTATTTCGTCCGCACCCGTACCTTTGTTTGTTTTGAGAGGTTTGTAAGTTCTCTCAAACTCATCAAAAGATAAGTCAGAATATAAATTATCTATAACAAGCGAATTACTTTTAGGCTCTAGGAAAACACTAAAATTTTTTTCCTAAATAGGAATCTTATTTGCCAATTTAGTTGGTATATCAATAAAATATTTATTAAACTCGTTTGCAAATTCGTTTGGTTCATATATATTTGTTTTACTTATTTTAATTACTTTAGGAAGGGAGTTTGAATTTGTTTTTTGTTTTTCTGTTATTTCTTTTTAAACGTATTCTCCAAGTATTTTTTGAGTCTTTTTTAAATTTACTAATTAAATTGAAATAATAATTTTTGTTTAGTTTTTTTCGAATTTTTATATTTTTGTTGGTTTTCATTTGATTTTGTTTTTAAATATTTTATATATAGTTTCCGCTTGATTTTAGAGCATTTTCTAAGTCCTTTGGTAATCCATAGACTATTTAAGGTTTTTGTTTTTGTTATTTTTTTCCAAAATGGAAAGTTTGCATCGTATATTGAGAAGAACGTATCAAAGAATTTATTATATATTGTATATGCGTCTTCATTAAAGTTAATATGTTTCCAATGCAGAAGTGATATTTTATATTGGAAGGATTTTATATTGCTCTTATATTTTGTCTTTCGGGGTTATTAGAGGATACAGTATGGATTGTTAGAAAAATGGGAAATGATCGGATGTCTATTTTTATAATTCCTTTTTGTAATTTCCTATAATAAATATCTGTTGTAAAAATATTTTCAATCAACGTCGTTGAAGTTTTGATTATTCTAGTAGGGCGATTTAATAAAGAAAGAGCTCCTGCTATAAATATTTCATCATAAAAACTTTTTACTTTTTTATCTTTATTATACATTAATCAGTAATATAAAAGTTTTAAAAGTTATTTTGTTTTCTTTGGTACCTTTGTGAATGATATTTTGCTGTAAAAGAAAACTAAGATTTTCAGACGCACCATCAGGTGGTGTAGCAGCTTAATAAATTATTTTTTTTATTATTGTTTAAAATTTCGATAGTTACGATTTCTTTTTAACCGTCAGAAACCGTCACCCTCCATTTTTAAAAAATTGGGTCAATCTCAGAATTTTACTAAATTTATGGTTTCGCATATTTTTTCATTAGAAGCAACTTTAGTTAAGTTAACCTTAAAAATGCTTATTGTCTCAAGAATTTTTAAAATTCTTAGTTCTGCAAACTATAAAAACACAATAATTAACAAAAAAAGTCAATTAAATTTTATTACATAGCAACATAATGCATGAAAGGTTAAAAGTTTTTTTAAAACATTAACCAAAAGACTAGATAAGTACTAGGGGTGTCCCGGATAGCATTTTTTTATTATCCGGCCAGATATCGGATACCAGGATATTTAACAAATATCAGTCCGGATATCCGGCCGGATACGGATAATGTAAGGTAAATATTACAATAAGACAAAAGTTACCGTAATAACCATTCAAAATGGCGAGTTTTATTTGGAAACTTTTTAAAATTAGTGATAACTGTGATTCTATAGCTATTTGCATTCCATGTGAAAAGCAGATAAGCAGGGGGTGTAGTAGATCTGGTCAGCAGTAGTAGATCTGGTCAATCAAACAAATATAACTGGAATTTTATCAGTTGTTGTTAACAGAGCTACCAGCTTCACCACCATTATCTCCAATCATTTAAAAAAAAGTTCTAAAAGAGTTAACTCTTAAATTATTAGCACCTCCAGCATCCTCTGTATTTTCGGAGAAATAATTTTCCAAATATGGAAATATTTACAAGAAAAAGCGATCAAGGCTGTTACCTCAACGTGGAGGAATGTTACTATTTATTCATCATAATGGAAACAAATTTATGAATGAGTGATAAACTGATGTATTATTAGCGTTTAATACTAATAGTATATGAATAATATAACGGTTTTCTATTTCCTACCGGGGTCCGTACCGATATAACAAAATCATATCAAAAAATATAGAATTTAAAGTATTAAATAATATTGCGAAATTGAAAAATAAATTAAAACACCTCATACTTAATACCTACAATTATATCGACAAGTATTAAACTTAACATAAAAATTTATACTTAAATATTTATGTGTATCATTGACTGTATATTGTTTAACTACTTTTGACTATATATAAAAATAAAATAGACTTTATTTAACCATTTAAAGAGATACTCGATGATTAATCTTTATAGACTTCTACTAGGGAGTTTTGTCACGTGACATTTTATCGCGGAAAAAAATCGTTAATATATTTTTGAAAAACTTCGTCCAAAAAACGCCAGGAATAATTTTATGTAGGTTTTGAAGAATAAAAACCCACCCATGAAAATAAATATTATATACGTACATGTAGATGTTATTTTTTTTAGAAAAGGTTGTACTACAATAATTTGTTTGGGGACGATGTTTTGGTTTAGAATTGATAAAGTTATTTAGTTTTAAATCTTTCAGTTTTGTTAAAATGCAAGTAAACTAAAATAACTCTTTCGTCCCCACGTAAAAATAAGTTCTGCAACTATTTATTTATTAAGTGAACAAGTTTTTTTTTTTTTTTTTTTGTAGTCTAATAGGGTGGGTTTTTTGTTTCCTAAGTAAAGATTATTATAATTTCCCCCGTCTTTAGATATTTTTGGTAAATTTGCCGTTTCTCTTTTACTTGAGAAAAGATTTTTGCACACGTTGAATTCTATATTTTATATAGCTGAGATTTTATTGTAAATTTTAACTTAAGGTATTCTAAAGTGAGTTTGTTTTGTGTTGTTAATGTGGTTGTTGCTAACCAATTAGTAATTGAATCTCAGCAGTTTATCAGTAAGTCTAACTTAGCAATTTTCTTTTTATACAATTTACTTAATTTTTAAGTTTATATATATATATATATATATATATATATATTATATATATATATATATATATATATATAATATATATATAAATATATATATATATAATATATATAATATATATATATATATATATATAAATATATAATATATATATAAACATATATATATAAATATATAATATATATATATATATATATATATATATATATATATATATATATATATATATATATATATATATATATATATATATATATATATATATATATATATATATATATATATATATATATATATATATATATATATATATATATATATATATATATATATATATATATATATATATATATATATGTATATATATATATGTATATATATATATATATATATATATATATATATATATATATATATATATATATATATATATATATATATATATATATATATATATATATAATAAGTAAAAGACTTTGAAATAATATATTTATATGTTTATTTATTTGTTCGAATTGATGACTGGAAAATCTTTATTTATTTAGATAAAATGATAAATGAAAGTATTTATGATTGGTATTGGGCTTTAAAAGATACATCTTATGGTGCAATATATTGTAGATATTGTTTGGATTTTAAAGTTGAACTGTTCTGCTGCAAGAAAGCTTTAGCCAAAAAGATAAATAGATTAGTTGACACCATCAGAAAATTAAAGAAACAACGAAAAAATAAAAAATAAGCATTGTTATTAGGTGAAGCCTTTTTTCCACCTGTGGCAAATTTTTCTGATAATACAGTGAGTGCATCAGAAATTCCTAAAGAAACAATACTGATAAGCGAAAACAAAATGCTTAAAAAAGAAAATAAAATTTTAAAAAGGAAAATGGAATCTATGATGGATTTACAAATGGATTATTTTACACATCTAAAAGATTTTGAAGATATGTCAAACAATCTAAAAATACTTATTTCAAAAAACTCTCTAATAGAAGCTGAATTAAACTTTATTAAAAAGTGTCATTGTGAAAAAGAAGAAAAGCTTAATAATATTGAAAACAAATTGGAGCTATTAAAGTCAAAAAAAGAATCATTTAATGTTAGAAATTTGAATAAAAAAATAAAACATCGTGATACTCAGCTGGAAATAAAAAAGAATAAAATAAATTCGTTAAAAAATGAAGAAAAAAAAAATAATATTGCAATTAAAAAATAAAATAACAGATATTAATTCAATTCTTGAAAACTCAGATATAAACATTTCTGAATTAAAAAACGAAAAAATAAAGCTGCAAAAAAAAGTGAGTAATTTAAAAATTATTTTGCAAAATAAAACCAACTATATTAATGACAACAATATGAAAGATGTTATAAGTTTAGAGAAGGAAGTTGTTTCATTATATAGTAAGACAAACATTTTAAAAGAGGAGAATCTAGAACTTCAAAAATTGGTTTCTTTGCTGGATGATGACGAAGTAATAACATTTGAAGATGGCAGATACAGTGATGACATTCGAGAAACAATAATGAAACTTCTTTCAATGAACGTGAGTACGAATAGTGTCAATGAAGTCATAAAAGTAGTTTTAAACAAACTAGCCAAAAAGAACATATCTAGACTGCCATCAGCCGCTGTAAAATGTAGGTTAATGCAGGAAGCTTCAATTTTAGGTCAATTTCAAGTTGCAGAAGCAATGCTTGAAAATAATTTGATAAATAAAAACTCTAAAATAGGCAATTGTTTGCTTGGTGATGGTACTCAGAAATACCATAAGCATTATCAAAACTTTCAAATTACTACAACTAGTGGGAAAACTTTATCTTTTGGTCTGTCAGAAGTGGTTGGCAAAGATGCAGCAACTGTTTTGCAAAACTTTACTAATATAGTAGATGACATTTGTGACGTTGTTAGCAACTCAGCCACTGAAAAAGAAATTAATTTTGCTAAACTAATAACATCAATAAAATCAACAATGTCTGATCTTTCTTCGGTTAATCCTCTTTTTAACTCACAGTTAAAAACATTAAGGGAAAAACTTTTGCCTATTGCAATTAGTAACTGGGACTTTCTTTCCTCAAACGTCAAAGACAATATGAAGGACATGAGTAATTTTTTCTGTAAACTTCATTTGCTCGCTAATTTTGCTTCTGAAACTGATAAAGTTTTAAATTCTTTTGAAAAAATTCTGCTTCAAAATGATTTTGAAACTGTTTTTGCTTTTAGTAGTAAAGAATGTGGTGCTGTACGGTTAGTTCGTACTACATGTAAGGCATTTCATTCAAGGGGTAGTGAGGAAGCTGGTGTTGCATCATAGTTTAATTCTTTTCTTTCCTCTCGTAACGATAAATCTTATTTTGTTCCATTTATTGAAAATTGATTTAATATTTTGTATTACAATGCAGCTGCTCTATACTATCGTAAGGATTCTATAACAGAATTTTTTAATGCTTGGCCTAAACCTAATAATTTATTAAAAGCAATTAAGGAAGATATCACAAATCTTGTATTCATTGCTGAAGTCCGTGCATTAGGTATTATTGACAAACTACTTACTGGTCCAATGTGGAGAACTATCGAATCACTTGATAGAATATAATTTTTAAACCCCTACCTACTTCGCTTGAAAGTTAGACTTTCATTTCTTTGTATCGATGCGTCTTCTTTATAGTTTGTTAATGGAAAAATTTTTGAGGATACCAATCTTCTTCATCAAGATGTGGTTTACACCAAGCTGTTTGAATGCACTCAAAATGACGAGTTTGATTCTTTAACTGTTCATTCACTTGAAATTATTTTCCATGCGATTCTTGTTATTTTGGAACGTCAGTGTGCTGATCAATTACCAGGTGGTAAATATTGGAATCCATCTAATTCTGTTTCTGAAGCTGCTTCTAATGTCCCTGTCACTAATAAAGCATCAGAAAGCGACTTTGCCATTTTGGATTTAATGTTTCGCACAAAACCCAATGCAAACGTTCAAACTATCCAGGCTTTGACAATGTGGTCTCAGAACCAAATATTCGAATGGCTTAATGGTAAATCAGATGAAGAAAGAAAACAATTGCTTGAATATTCAAGAACTAAAGTAACATTAATGAAAAGCAAATATGATGAAAGAAAAGAAGCTCTTAAAAAAGATAAAGCTATGCACCTTCTAGCAAAGCAAGAAGAAAAAAATCGAGAAGAAATTAAACTACAACATAAAAAGGTTGCAGCTTGTAATGATTTGATAAATTTAAATGTAAGGGCTTGGATATCATTAGAGGAAGCAGAGAAAACAGTTTTTAATATAGAAGAGCCATTGAAATCAAAAGTACTTCTAGCTCAACTTAATTTTTATCGCATAATCTTAGGTGTCGAATGTGACAAAAAACTTTTTTGTAAAACAAAGGTAGAAGGAAGCAAAAGAATAAACTTGTCTTCAGAGGAATTATATCAAAATCTTCTTATTGTTATTCAAGCAAATTTAACACCAAACAAACAATCTTTAAGTAATAATATAAGTAATAATTTAAAGCCTCGTACATTGCGTGATGCAGCTGTTGAAGACAAAAAAAAAGAATTAATGGAAAAAATTCAGGATGAAAGACTAAACAAATTAATAGAGCAACAAAAAAAGCACTCTTTATCAAAATTTATTAACAATCCATCTGATTTTGTAGGTTTTTCTATACAACATCGTGTTAGAGAAGAAGATGCTCATGAAGTATCTTGGGAACGTGCGCAGGTGGTTCAAATTGATCAATTAAACGGTAGAAGAACTACATACCTTGTTAAGTATGATAATGAACCTGATGAAGTATGGTCATTTCCTTTATTAATAGATTTTGAAAAAGGTGATCTTATTCTTTGTAGCTAGGATTGCGAGGTTTTATTTAATGTAAATTTAGAATTATGTTACAGTATATATTAATCTTATTTCTTTTATTGTTATGTTCCAATAGTTTTTTTTACTACATTTGAGTTCAGTGGTTTTTATCTTTGTAAATAGTATGAATCATATCTGATATGTTTATCTGCACCAATTTTGTTTATTTGTTGTTGTTTATTTGCAGCTTAACTGCACATTATTATTATTATTAAAAAAAAAAAAAAGCTTATGCAAAAATACTATTACTTTTACATGAACTGCCTATCAAGTAAAGGAAAGTATCCAGAAATGGAGGGCTAACCTTAGGCTAATTTACTATTACTTTTACATGAACTGCCTATCAAGTAAAGGAAAGAATCCAGAAATGGAGGGCTAACCTTAGGCTAATTTACTATTAATTTTACATGAACTGCCTATCAAGTAAAGAAAAGAATCCAGAAATGGAGGGCTAACCTTAGGCAACATGACAGCTCACGGATGGAGTGCAAAGTCCTATGGCTAACCTTCTCGTTGGTGCACTTCGTTAAGTAAGTTAGACAATTTTGTCTAATTTATGAACGGAATAGCCAAGGCAAATATGTATAAAATTGTTTGTTAACAATACACACACAGCTTACTCTGAAGTTTGAATTGAAATTCGATAATTAAAATATTTTTTCAGTAAATTTACCGATATGAAGTATGCTAAGTTTTAAATGAATTTTGAAAAGTGAAATTTCTGAGTTTGCAACATATAGTCAAATTTGGGTACATTAATAGTGCGATAATTTATTTCAAAGACAAAATGATATAAGACATCTATTAAAAAGTTTAAGACAAATAGATAGATAAGATAATCCGTATAAGAATTTCCATGACTGTTAATTTCCATGACTGTTAATCTATGTTAATTCCGTATCTGTTAATCTATGTAATCTCAATTTCTTAATACAAGAGGGATGGGGTTAATAAAAGTGGATGGAGGAGTTTAGTCAAGATTTAATGAACGGGGGAGGGGAGGGTCAGAATTTACACTGAAAGTTTTATTACTTATCAGTAACTAGTATGTATTTTTTGATTTTTAAAGCTGATTTTCACTAATTTTTTTTTAGTTTTTAGATATAATTTTTTTGTTAAAACAAGTAAAAATTAATAAACGGGAGGGGGGGGTCTTAATAAGCTTAGTGTGGGTGGCAAAGTTTCCCCATAATTAATAAAGTTCCCCCCCCCCCCCCTTGGAATTAAGGACTCGAGAGTACACAATCAAATAAAGCCAAACACAATGAAATAGAACAATTCAACGAGTTTTTCATTCACTGTTTTCAAAATTTTTAAAAAAGTTAAAAACCTTAACCCCATTAAAAAATAGAACATTTTTTATATTATGATAGGTGCTGAAAACAATAAATTAGTCGAATCAGTAGACTATAAGTGGTTAAATCTTTTTTTAAATCTATAACAATACTGAAATTATTGACAAGTCTTTGACTAATTTCTTTATTTGTTTGTGTAAAAATAAATTTTAGATTTATGTTTATTTTGTACATATTTTGACGTTTTCGGCGTGTTTTATTTGGGTCCACGTTGTTCAATTGATAATTTATTAAAAAAAAAAAAAATAGTTTAAGTTAATATTTATCATCAAAGTTTTGTTATATTATGAAATATTAAGGAATATAATAGGGTTGTTCGCCGAAAAACAAAACTTGCGAAAATTTCGCATCTTTATCTACCGTAATAGAATTGTTATCACGGTATTTGCACATGCGAAAATGCACATTCCGTAACGCGCTATACGAAAATATAAATAAATAAAATTCCGTAATAAAGCATTGCGAAAGAAAACTTGCGAAACAAATCATTTCGTAAGAATACTTACGAAATAGTTCCTTACGGAAAAAGCATTCCGGAATGTGTAGTTACGAAAAAGACGCAAAAGATTTTATGTTACGATATATTTAAGATATTAACTGTTAACAGTTTAAATAATAAATAAAAAAATTATAAAAAAATGTTGTCAAATGATTCTTCAAATGTTTATACAAATATACCTAATATATATATATATATATATATATATATATATATATATATATATATATATATATATACATTAACGGGATTTTACTGTATATATATGTATATATATATATATATATATATATATATATATATATATATATATATATATATATATATATATATATATATATATATATATATATTTATATATATATATTCATATATATATATATATATATATATATATATATATATATATATATATATATATATATATATATATAAATATATATATATATAAATATATACTTATATATACAGTAAAATCCCGTTAAGTTGGACTCTCAATGAATAGATAAACAGTATGCCTTTCTTTTTAAAAAGTATAAAGAGGATGTGTGATAAACAATTAAATACTTTATTATAAAGAACGAGAGATCTCTCTAAAGGTAAATGATATCAGAAAGAGTAAAAAGAGAAGAAATATATGTGAAACAGCGGGATGTGAACCTGGGTCTACGCGGCCAAATGTCTTAACTGAATGAGCTATACGTTCATTCAACTAAGAGAATAGTAATATTTATTTAATATATATAATTTGAAACTATATAAAACAGAATTTACAGAAAGAGATACGTATGCAAATAGGATTCTATATATCAGGAAAATGAATAGTAATGTGAACCTTTAGATGCTTATAATTAATATCTGGACTCAAAAACTAGTTACTTTTAATGGAACACAATAGGCTGTAGGAGCCTCATGGAAATTATATTCAGAAATGGTTATATTAGACTCAGAGTTAGCTAGAAATTATTACAAAGTATTTAGGACAGATGTCTAGTACAAAAAGCAAAAGATTTAAAGCAAAATGAATTATATTATTTGAAAAAATTGTTTTACGTACATTTCATCATAATTTAAGTAGAACTTAGTAAAGCAAGGGAAACGTGTTGAATTAAGCACAATGAACTCAATCTTAAAAGAATAACTAACAGAAGAGAGGTTGTCACTATTGTGAAGGCGACGAAAGATCTGTAATATAGAACATGGAGGTCAAAAAATGCTATCTTAAGTAAAAAGAGTTTGATGAACAAAAGTTACAATGGCTGCGGGATGCGAACCCGGATCTCTGCGGCGAATTATAACGTATCTAACTGATTGAACTATACAATCTTATACTCAAATTTATATCTTATTAAAATTAAAAAACAAAATTTTCTATGATCTATACTTTGAAAAGCGTATTCAAACAGGACTCTACATACCTTTAAAATCTGCTAGAATTTTAGTAACGTTCACACTTTTAGAAATTATTGAAATAGGTATATTTTATCAGAAATATGCTTAAGCTAAAGCATACTTTTGAGCCTCTTTTTACTATTTGCTTAAGCATATTCGAACCTGTTTCAAAAATTTCATATGCTTTAAAAAAAAAACATGTATATTCCTACCGATCATTCTTATTTTTAATATACGTAATGAGTTCAAAAAACATCGTTGTATATATTTATTATGGCACGTTTCGTAAGTTTATTTCCGTTAAGAATTCTTTCGTATGTTGTGATCCGAAATACTTTTGTTTCGAAAGAAATTTTATTTTTTATCAATATTTCTAAAAATAAAACCGTAAAAATTTAATAAGTTAATTTACTGAAAATAAAAATTCATTATAAACATTTTGGGATTTAAAAATGTTAATTTTTACAATTAAAATCAGTCTGGCAAACAAATTTTCTTCATAGACTTCAAAACGTCGTTTGGCAAAAATGTTTGTTTCGCAAGTGCGACTTCCGAAACCGCTACTTTCGTATGTTGCAAAATAGTTTTGTTTCGTATGTCAACTTGCGAAATGCTAAATTTCGGAAGTGGCTTTTGCGAAATGAACATCGGCGATTTTAAATGTTTTGTAACATTCGGTACGAAAAAATGTAATTCCAAGTTCTCAATCTCCTTACGAAAGAATGTTGTTTTTCCGAAATTGCACGAAATCCTCCGTTAACAACCCTAGAATATAATGCATTATATTCTAGGGTTGTTAACGGAGGATTAAAGAATTTTTCCGGAATTGCACGAAATCCTCCGTTAACAACCCTAGAATATAATGCATTATATTCTAGGGTTGTTAACGGAGAATTAAAGAATGTTGTTTTTCCGGAATTGCACGAAATCCTCCGTTAACAACCCTAGAATATAATGCATTTAATATAAAAAATATTTACGATTGCTATAAATATTGCCTAAACTGCCTATTTCTACGAGTTTTCCTTTACAACAACATGTTTATATCTGAAGTACCAAAAAAAAATTTTACCTTTTCTTATTTTTATTCTTTTATTTTTTTAAAATACTGGTAATTTTCATGATAAGAAACACTATTAATTTACGCTATACTTAGTTATACTTGTTAAATCAATTTTTATTATGCTATGTTATACGTGGTATTATTATCTTATATTTTTACGTGGGATTATATTATGTCATGTAGTTATAACGTAACGATGTGTAAATTCATTACAGTTGTAAAAAAAAAATAATAATAATAATAATAAATTATTATTAATAATAAAAACATATTGAATAGAAACCATTAACATTAGATTATTTAAAAGTATAACATTTCTTGGTTTATTAAATCTTTAAATTTCTAAATAAAATTAATTTTATTTAGAAATTTAATCCGGTTTATCCAAAACCGGATAATTTTATTATCATGAGAATATGCCAATATCTTTTAAAAAAAAATAATTCCTCTGACATATTTGTAGAAAATTCTGGCAGTTTTCACGAACTTCGCGGGGAAAATAAGTCGGACGAATTATCGCTTTTTATGGCGACCAGTAATCATCAACAAAACGACGTTAACATTGTCGAAGAACACTCAAAAAGGATGTCAGGTGTCAAGAACGCTCATTTTTTTTGACATTGGAAATGTCTTTACGTCTACTATGAACTTAAAGACTATAAAGCAAAGTATAACAAAGATGCTACCTAAAATCAAAATTCAATACATAACAAAACATGTTATACCAACAAACTTTCCAAAAAAATTTTGATCAAATGGATGGGCAAATGTTAGTTGAGCATGCTATTCTATTGTGCAGCAAGGTTTGTTTTGCGGCCCATGTGCTTTGTTTTTAAAAGAAAGAGATG